GGAGAAAAGGTGGTGGAAGACCCTTTGTCCAGGGTGGGACACACACACACATACCAGAAAGGAAAATACACAACTATGAAGCCATCACTTTGACCAGGTCCGGCACTCTCCTCAAAACACTCTTTGCTTTAGAGCGAGCCCCAATCCACTAATCATCCTCATTGCCCCAGATCAACGGATCTGAATTCGTCCAAACAAAGAAGCTCCAGTCGTGCACAGCCAGTCCAACCCAGTCCTCCCGTCCTCTGCGCAGGAGAGCTCCACAGCACCTGAGCACTTGGTCTCGCCCCCCTCACCGCCATGAGAAAAAGCCCACCCGTCCCGAGTCGCGAGGGAGCAGAGGGAGCATGCCGAGGTCCCACCACTCGCGCGGCGGTCAGGGACCACAGGGCGACTCTCAGGTGCGAAGGTGAAGCACCTGGAGTCATGTTTGTTGGACCGGAAAACGCTGCAGACAAGAAAGCACTGATGGGTCTTTCTCCAGCTTCTGTGCTGAGATTCGATGTTCATGATCATGTGTTGATCAAAAACACCAAAGTGGAAGCAACATGAAAATCAACTTGATACCACAGCGAGAGAGCAAAACTATTGAACTGCTACTGTTTCCAATTGCATCCGAATTACGGCCTCCAAAGGCTTGCAAATGGAGACCACCGTAGCTGGTGCATCGTGTATTCACTGAACATATGGTCTTCGTCAATCATGGAGCCTGGTCTTAACTCGGATGCCTCTACCAACTACAAAAACTCTCAACGCAGAACGTGGTTCATACATTCAAAGACAAGTATCCTAACCAACACATCGTGCTCTGATTCTTAACAAAGGTTGTTTCCTTGTTGATGCATACCAATGCACAGATATTTTTTTTTAATCACAATGTTACCATGTTAGTTTTGTTTTTTGTTTTTACATGTCATTAACTACAAAGTCTCAGAATGAACAGTTGATCGTCGAATCATGCAATGTGTGGATGCATTATACATAATTTGTGCAAGTTTAGCAGCCAAACAGGACCCATCGCTGCTCAACAGAGCCAGAAGAAAGAGTACTGGCGCAAGCAGACCCAGAATAGCATGTTCCCAGAATACTGAACAGAGCTTGGATCCAATTCTACGTACTGAAGTTCACTGAAGAAGAACGTATTTGGATTAATGCACTATATCGAAAGTAGTAACCACTCCATGTCGGGTGTCGCTCGCGGTCTCCTGCGACCCCCCCAAGTGTTTGCTCGCTTCGGCCCGTCCGCTAGCGACGAAGCATGTCGTATGGCCTCCATGGGTTCCTTTGCTGCAGGGGGTGACGCCAACGTGTGAGACAAGGAACCAGGGCTTCTGTCTTGCACCCCCAAAGAGAAGCATCCAGGTTGGGCACCGACATCATGTAGGTGCTTATATTGTGTGTGTGTGACCAATTGGTCAATGGTGTTATTCAGTAGTTCAGTAGTTGATCAACTAGAGAAACAAACTGATGACAAACTGAAATGATCCTTGCTGGGTAAATCCTGATTTATCCATGTTGCCCCTTGGCAAGGAACTCAGCAAGTTGGTCACCTAGCAAGCGCCAGGTCCACAAGCTAGCGTCAGGCTCATTCTGCCCCAGAAGTAGAAGAGACTGTTGGAAAGTAGAATTTAAAGCAACCCCTGTTTTGACACCATTTGGATCCATGTGGTACATGTTTTTTTGTATTGCTGCTTCGTGGGTGCCACCAGCATTATGGCAGCTGGGAGTTTCTGTAAATCTGTCTCTCGAAAAGCAACAACGGCCAAGTAGAGCACACGTTCTTCAAGAGATCAAACACCGAAGCTGAACATATCTAAAACCACTTCTGTCTCGAGGCAGAAGGTATTTGTTTTTTGTTTCTGAAGACGGCCCAGAGGTGGCCCCTGGGAGTTTGGTTGTGCAAGTGTTCAGTGGTTGCATTCATGGGACCTGAGGTGCATTCATGGGACTTCTGAGGCGCCAACATGGCAAGAATTGTGATCAGCTTCTCAGGTTTGGAGGAACCGTCGTGGAAGCTCACCAATGTTTTTTCTGGGACAGCCCCAAATACATGGTGACCATCCTTGTCAACCTGGGAGTGTCCACACTACTCCGCAGGTGCATGTTCTTTGCCTCGCCCTAGGATCATAACATAACATGAACTTCCCGCCCTGGTCGCCCGGGTTCATCGCGGCTTCAGAACAAGGAATTTGTGTTCCAGCCTCCAACAGCCACACCACGCTTCCGTGTCTCCAACCTCCATCGGTGCGAGGTTGCGCCTCATTGCCAACGCGACCTATGAACCAACCGGTGGGGCAGCCCGTGGATCGGTGAAGCATGCAGCGGGGGGGTCGCTGCTTCCGTGAACGGTGTTGACCGTGAGCGCCGTGAGTGGAGCTGCGATGAGTGGTGGAGGTGAAGTTTGACCAATCATCAGTTTGTTGAGGTTCACCAGAGAAGCATCAGTCCGTTAATCATCAGTCTGTTAACGTAGCACGATGTTATGCCTTTGTTCAAAACATGCGGAATTCCTCAGACAGCACTGGCGCGCCATCTTTCCTGCGGACGGATGAACAAGTTTGTTTTTCCAGCCAGGTCAATGAAACCTCAAGTGCACTCACTGGTCATGGGTCAAGGCCCTGCACCATGTAGTTCTCGGCCGACTATAGCTTGGAGCTTCATCCAAGTCGGCCAAGGGCACCCTCCAGAGGCTTTGATTCCAGCCCCTCTGCCCCTTCGGAATTCAACGACCTACAGACCTACATCTTCCAGAAGCTAGTTGCATCATCCTGGATCCTCCCCCAGTCCACGCCACAAAAGCTGCTCCGTCCGGGCGCAGAACATCCGGTGGAACCCCCGTGCTGCCTACGTCTCTCACCGTGCCTCGCCGTCCCAGCGCCTCGCCGTCCGCTCGTCGACGCACGGACTCCTGGAGGTCGTGACTGGTTCTTCACTGGTGACTACTACTACCGGAATGGACGGCGGACGCCAGGCGGATCGGTCGCTTTTGTTTGCTAGCGGCGAGGTGATTCCGCCGCTAGCTTCTTTGGAGGTGCGTTCGTGAGTGAGTCGTAGAAAAAACGTATCATCCAAGAAGAAGGCACTGGTGAACAACATTCCTATTTGATACAGACCAATGCATCCACTCGTATCCCAGATCATTGACTGTCATTGGTGCTTACACCTCCAGATCTACCCCAGATGTTCAGTGGATTCAGAACTGCATGAACTTCTGTTCCATAAGTAACATGAACCACGCAGATGCCCGGCATTGCCCGGCTCTTACCGCTGTGAACAGGGCCCATGGGTTCAGCATCGAAGCGATTACATGAAGTCTCCACATCCTCAAATTTACTGAGATCAGGATCCTTCTTTGTCCACTTTCACCAACAGAACTGTAGAGACTGCTCACCGCTACCATCTTGGCTCCCATGTTGCAAATCCCTTTCAGATCCTTTCAGCATATTGCAAGTTGCATGGGGGAATAAAACACATTCAAAGAGCTGAAAAAGGGTGTCCTATCTTCAAGACGAGAAGGCACCTTGATTGCGAGAGGTGGAAGATTGCGCATTGGTCACCCAGATCTCGCACGGTCGGCGCACTTGATGGGGTGCAACTTGTGACAACGGCACTGCTAACACCTTCAAACACCTATGATAAACAATCATTAATTCAAGGTAAGTGATCAATATTATTCGTAGTTATAGTTAATTAATGCTAATGATATATGTATGTACCTGGAACCCATTCGACCTTTGTTTTGATGATAGGAACGACCATATTTTGTGTGGTTGGTGGTCCAACATAGAGGTCGTTCAGGTTTCAGGTATATAATCTAGTGTGAATAATAACGTACGTTAGACCAGCCCAGGTTTGGGATCCACCCCAACCGCTGCTCCTCTCTCCCCAACGGTTGGTGCAAGGACCGCAAGATCGCTGGAAGGCCTACTCCGCCAAGGTCATCCGCTCGGGTCGGAGGTCAGGTCGGAGGGGAACATGCAGTCCGCTCCCTGGAAACATCATGGTTACACTCCCGACGCTCCTAACATAGACCCAGGTCCTGTCTGGCTCCCTGGAAGATTGTTTTCCTCTACCAACCAGTGGTTTTCAGGGTCCATGGGATCGTCTACCAGGGTGTATATTTATATATATATACATAGATGGCACCACCATGCACGAGCTGTTTGCAAAGGATTTTATCCAAGACTTCATTGCATCATGTCAGGGAGTGAAAGACAGGACAACTCATGCGTGGCTATGCCCACCCGATGGCTCGATGACCTGAACTGGAAGAGATCAGAGTTAAACGACTTGGCCCCCCCCCCACCCCAGGACGACAGGCAGAAGTTTGGGGCACAGGGTTTGATTCGTTGGTTTGGGGCCGCCCGGGTTTCCCAATGGCAGGCAGACACGACCAACGTTTACTTTCTAGAGAAACTTGTCCACTGTTTTGGCTTCCAGGAACCTCTGTAGACAAAGCACCGAGCAACAACCGACCAAGATTCTGTCACTTGTTATCTTTGGCTTTATCCATTCATGGCAACAGTCTAGAAACACTTTAGAATTATCATATGCACGATGCTTGTTTATTTGAGACCTTCATTGACCACCATCATCATCCACTCTTGCAATTGCCGTTCGATTCGACCTCATCGAGTCTCACTCTAGTTGTTCTTGACAAATCCCATTTGTTGCTGATATTCAGACTTGATTGTTACGGAACTTTTGAAAGGGTTCACCTCAGCAGTGCACGTGGAATCACGTGGAATATGTTCAGAGAGTGTTAGACAACCCATGGAAGACCCAGCACGTGAAGATCGATACCTGTCTCTCAGTGGATTTGCATGTGCATCTCGATGAATTGCTCGCTGCTGTTTCTACACGGACTGAGAGTACACAGTATGGACTGAAAGTAGGACCGGATAGGTGTGCGCTCTTTGAATATGGCAAAGTCTTGTTTTGCATGTGTGTCGAGCGAAGCAACAAACGATACCAAACCAATACCTAAAACAATGCCACAACTAACCTATGAACATGTGCTGTGCTAGACCCTGGCCCAGATGCACAATATCTTCGAGTGGAAGAAGCGACAACGACATTAGCTTGTAAGAAACAAGAGGTTGCTGTTGTTTCTACGGGTAATATGATGTAATCTGTGGAAAGCAACACCGGAACGTAAAAATAGTTCGCAATAGTTTTGAGCATCGCTCATGTCCTTTTTGCCCTCATGGTCGACTGTGTTTCAGTCTAATGATCCACTCTAAAGGTTGTGATCACTTGCTGTTTGATCTTCAATGCAATCAGGACATCCCACGAGAGTGTGGTGGCCGAGTCCAGATTGGGCGGATGAACC